CAATATCGTACATATCCAGTAGGACTTTTGGGCATGGCCGAAAAAGGAGGACAAATGAATTGCTTGTAGCTTTGCGAGAATTCAAGACAGAGCAAATCTGTTTACAGCAGAGATAGACCAGTATTGTAGAATACTAATGTCCAAGTTTCATCCAAAAATATCATTTTCTTCTCGGTCTAGGAAGGAAAACGCAATTTTGCGTGATGCCGTCAAAATCGACCTAAAATTGTCTATGCGAAACATAGCGGTTTGAAGGCGACCTCGCTTTGCGCGAGCTGAAAACGCGTCAGTTTCTGTATCTCACCTAAAACTGATTGAATCTCTTTCAAATTCGGCAGGTATGTTCATAAAAACTCACAAAGTTCCTGTATGAGTTTCCATACTGATGTCGTAATTAGTCATTGAGTTATTTACAATTGAAATGTCTTAATGAAAGCATAGATCGCTCACAACTTTTCAAAATAAAAGTTTACTTTCCTCCGAAATGAAGTAGTGCAACCATTGAAAAACAATGTGGTGATATCACTGAAAGGTCCTTGCCAGACCTATGTACAAGATTGTGTCTATTTCACAATGCAAATCCCTAACTCTACTTTATTATTACAATATCGTACATTCCAGTGAGACTTTTGGGCATGGCCGAAAAAGGAGGACAAATGAATTGCGTGTAGCTTTACGAGAATTCAAGACAGAGCAAATCTGTTTACAGCAGAGATAGACCAATATTGTAGAATAGTAATGTCCAAATTTCATCCAAAAATATCATTTTCTTCTCGGTCTAGAAAGGAAAACGCAATTTTGCGTGATGCGGTCAAAATCGACCTAAAATTGTCTATGCGAAACATAGCCGTTTGAGGGCGACCTCGCTTCGCGCGAGCTGAAAACGAGTCAGTTTCTGTATCTCGCCTGAAACTGATTGGATTTCTTTCAAATTCGGATGTTATGTTCATGCTAGCTTAAGAAGTTACTGTATAAGTTCCCATGCTGATGTCGTAATTAGTCATTGAGTTATTTACAATTGAAATGTCTTAATGAAATCATAGATCTCTCACAACTTTTCAAAATAAAAGTTCACGTTCCTCCGAAACGAATGAGAGCAACCGCTGAAAAAGGACGTGGTGATACCACTGAAAGGTCCTCAATAGGCGTATATAAAATATTATGTCTATTTCATAATGTAAATCCCTAACTCTACCATATCATTGCAATACCGCACATTGAAGGGGAATTTTGGGGGCATGGCCGAAAATAAAGAAAGATGAATTGCCTGTATAGCTTTACGAAAATTCAAGACAGAGCAAATCTGTTCACAGCAGAGATAGATACGTATGTCAGGATACTGTTGTCCAAGTTTCATCCAAAAATAATAATTCCTT